CTGGAGTCAGGCTATCCCTTGTTTTAGTGATGGGTGATTGCATCTATTAATAGTGTATAAAATTACATTGTACGATTCGGAAAAATAAAATATGCACGCATGTAAATAGAGACTAGAAAATCGTATAGTTTTTGAAAACTTGAAATATATTTAAATTAACTCAAAAATCCGAAAAAAAAAAACTCAGGAATCAGGAAAGGGTTCAATAATGAATCGACATCCATTTTAATGTCATTTTACTATTATTCGTTTAACTCGGTACGTACTGTGAGTGAAAAAGAAAAATATCCAAACATTCGAGAAATTCAACAGAAAATAATGCGAAGATGAAAAAATAAAGCTCAAAAGAAAACATTCACACTTCAACCTGTAAATAAACGATGGGATTCTGATATTGAACTGTTATCTTAAATATCGTATGAAGCTTTCATCGGATTCATATTATACAAAAATGAAATTAGCAAAGACATTTAATTCATTGAAAATATCTAGCCGTGTAAAATAGACTAAATTAATGGCACAATAGAAAATAAAGAAAGGATGAATGAAATGAACTACAGAGTGTGGGTGTTGGTCTTGATCTTCTCTTCACCTACATCGGCACATCCAACTCCATCCCCACACTCTTATTCATTTTTGAGGTGATGAAAACATTTTAGTGAATTTTACGTTTTATCATTGATAGATTTGCTTTTCTTCCAACAACAATTTTAAACTTTAATATATCGGATTATACATAGTTTCTTTTATTCTTTTTTGATTTTAACATCTTTGAAACTTTTTCATAATCACGCAACTATATAGATCAAAATAAAATTTAAGCTTTCAGAAAACTAATACATAAATGAGCTCAATAAATAGATAATCAAAACTTGCCTAATCTCGCACATATCAAGGAAAAAAACTAGTTACATGTCTTGCACAATATCGTACTTTTTACGGCAGTTAAAAATTGATTTGTCGTGTTGCTGAGAAATTCGATAATTACGCATAAGTGATCGTCAGGATTCGACGGTTTCAGAAAAAACAAAAAAGCGAGAACTGAGTCAAAACCGAAACCAGAAGCGTGCAGTACAACAGGGCAGAACTGATGAAACCGAAAAATCTTTTACTCATAATCGGGAAGTTGATCTTTCAATTTTACATATTATTGTTATTGACTCGAAGAGATCAATCTAGTAGCACGCCAACCAAGAGGAAAACAGCTGATTTTTGTAAAATTTTCGTCAATTCTAAATAAAAAACTCAGAAAAATCGGAGCAATCGAAAAAAACTGTTTTCGACTGTTACTTCCTTCGTATCTCATTATCTCTTTGTCTAGAATTTTTAATGATTTTTAGTGAATGTGACTTCAAATTTAGGCGAGAAACTAGATTTAGATATCAAATGAAGTGTTTTTTTGTATATAACGCGAATCATATATGGTACAACACCTTTTCATAGTTTGGATTATGTGTTGTAGGAAAACTTCAGAATAGATTTTTTTTTTCGTTTATATCGCATTGAATTTCTTCAACAGCGTCAAATATTTTTGCTAGGTTGAGTTCGATATAAGTTTTCTAGTAATCATGTTTAAATCGAATTCCTTTTCGATACATCGAGTGATGTTACAATATGATCGATTATATTTTAATTCATATGCCGTTTAGACACATAAATATGATTCGTTGTCGTTTTGCTTTCGAATCAGTTCATATTTTTCGGAACATAACTACGTGAAACTGACATCATCTCATCTATCAGTACTTATGAAGAACGGTAGCGTACTAGTCAGTGGTCTCTTAAATTTGATACTTCAACCAAGAATAAACTACTGCACATACGGTAGAGATTAGCATTGTTAAAATTATTATTTTATTTAACTCGTACTGTTTATTAGATACAAAAATAACAAAGTTAGCGTCGATTCTATCTCCGAGTTCAAGAGTTTCATTCCAAATAATACTGATTCCTCTGGAATTGTTTTATAAATTAGTCAATTATATGTAAGACTGGAATGACTCTAAAGTGAGCAAAATAAGTTCTGAAGCATAAAGCTTATTAGCACAGCTTCTTCAAGACTGAACTGCGGGACGCACAGATTTCGTATAAAATTGAATACTCAAGGGTTATAAAACTAGTTACAACTCTCTATAATGAGGAGAGGGACTGAAGAGTCGACATTGTGAACTTAAAACATAAACTCACTATTTTTCTTCGAAAATATGTGTGAGTTCTACAAAAACTGAAAGCTATTCTCCAACTATTTTGAATTCGATTTCTTCTGCGTAATTACCTGACTCTTGGTCACACAAGTATATCCTTTTGTGTGTTAATACACTACTGCAGTATGGAGTTTGTTTGTTTCCAGATTCCTTAATGACACCATTGGTAACATCCGCCAATATCATTCGAATATCTTCATTGGCAGTTCCAATATGTTGTAAAAGATGCTTGGTAAATAAACCGTTTCGTTGTTCTTTTTCCAAATCATTGGCTATAGCTCCAGGTGCACATGCGAATGCAATAAGAGATCCTGCGCTAAGGTGCATTTCTTTCAAGCCACTTGATTTTGGGATATCTAAATTTGGGGCACGAGCACGCAGTTTCTCTAAATTAGGATCACGTATGTAATACAGTCTGCAGCAGTCCAATAGAAATATGGTCACAAATGGATTTCGGTCGATTAATTCATCTAGCAATTTTTGTGCAAGGATTGCACGATTTTTTACACCTTTATCTGTAATATCAGCATCATCACACGGTAACAAAAAATTTTGATCCTAAAACGATATAACATACAACTCTGCTTGAGAAGATGGAAATTGATCGAATAGACGTTTTTTCTAAAATAATCATTCGTTGGCTGAAGTACGTTGATCCGACACTGAGTTTTATCTTTTTGATTTATACATGTGGAGAAAGATTGCTCTGTCGCATCACTAAATCATGTCTTCCTTAGTTGACTTTCTGAATAGTCAAGTCATAATGCACCTAGTTTACTAGGCCAAAAACAGTGACTCCCTTCACTCTATCGGATTGTATACACGAATAACCGATCTATCAATGTGTTAGCATTGGTGTAGATCCTTCATACTTATCCTTTCAACGATGTTCAACAACACATTTTCGCCATTGTTTTAAACATAAATACGGGACTTCGAAGAGCCCAACTATTTGTCAATGTGTTCTGAGCAAGTATGGTTTTGCGAAAAAGATTGTCGCGGACAAAAATAGTTAAAAGTAAAGCTCAGGTGAGAAGGTAGTTCTCTGTTTCAAGTCTATTGCTAAGCAATGCATTGTTATGTATCTGATATAGTTTTCCATCAAATTCATCTCTATATTTCATTATACGGAGTTGCAATTTGTTCAAACCATTACATTTCCTACATGATATCATATAGTATCTTTCTGCTTCGTACACCTTCATTTTAAACTAGTGAAAAGTTATAATCTTTTCTCAGTCGATAAGATGTAAGCTATGCTATGTGTCATCTCAAATCTACAGGGTTGCGAAAAATGTTTTGCCAGGGGATTACAGCTCCAACGACAAATGATATCTATATTGAATTTTATCCCAAACGAAAGCTCGTCAAAAATGGCGTTTATCCATACGAATGAATAAGGACTATAGAGACTTTTTTCTATCGAACTTTGATAATTTCTAGAAATGCA